CCCCAAAACCCCAAAACCCCAAAACCCCAAAACCCCAGGGGTTGATTTGTTGTTGAATAATTAAATTCAAGAAAGAAACATGGTTATTCCATAAAATCTATTGTTCTCATCTCGAAATTATTCCAACTAGTCTATTCTTAGTTGTGATATGGTGAAAGGCAAAACATCTGCTCTAGGTAATCTAGCACGCCAAGATATTCATCATTTTGAGCTGTTTGGTGAAACTGATCAGCTCCTCCATACTTTAAATTCGTAGTATAAGATGGACTAGTGATGGCAGATTCAGCCTTATTCTTGAGTATTTTCCTCTCCTTTTCCGTTGAGATTTCAGGTTTGCCCAAGCTAGTAGGTATGTCTGAATTAACTTGATTCAAAGGCATAATGAAGATCTCACATGGGCCCTGAGGTAGAAACATATTAACTTTTCCTTCCGCTTGTTTGCACTTGAAAGGTAGAGAAGACTGCATTTTATCTATCTGCATTAACACTTTTCCTTGATTTAGCCCCACTAAGCTGCATCCTTTCTTGACTTTAAGCTGAGTTGCTACTTTTCCGTCAGTAAGCACTTGTCTCGAAGATGTGGATATTTGGCTCACATCCTTCTTCTGATGAGGGTCTGAGTTAGGTACAAACTGAGTTATACATTCAGACGATCTTTCTGTCTTTACTAAACTTTTTGAGGAGTCTGCCATGTAGTTCTTCTGAGGCTTCTTTTCAATAGTAAAGATTGAGGGAATGGAATCTTGCAGACTTCTATCAGCATACTTTAGGTCCCTCTTTTTCATTTCTGGGGGTTGGCACTTGTTGTCAGGTTCTGGGTTTCCTACCATTAAAGATTTTTGATCAAATTGGTGTCTATCAGGGAGCTCAAATTGGTAAAGTGAAGTGGCATCTCACATATTCTGGAGAACAAACTCCATGGGGTTATTTGTATTGAAATCCTTCTTTATTTGATCGAAATATTTTTGAGAATGAGACTTAATCTGGGTACTTGTCCTTGTTGGGATCTATAGATCATATATTCTCTGTGAATTGAGGTAGATGATAGTAGAATTTAACTAGATATAAGTATGTCCATTTTCTAATACTTTGCCAGTCTAAAACCTTCCTAAATGAATTACCAGAGAAAAATCAAGAAGAAGTATATTTCTCACAAAAAAAAGAATTTATTAGGGAAATTTCATTTTCCTTTGACCAATTTTTTATGACTAGTAGTTGCCTTTGCTGTGAAAACTCTGATACTAGCTTAAGAGCAGACATAAAAAGCTTTTCAATTCACATTGTATGAAATCAGTTATTTTTACCATTTCTTGGAGGATTTTTGGGTCCCTTCCATATATTTTCAATCCTAAATGATTGTTTGAGAACTATACAATTGACGAATGCTTGTTGCTCCTGATATGACCATCTTCCTTTGTTCTTTCTAACCCTTGGACCTTGTTTAGTCTATAATGGTGAAATCTTGAATCAAAATGTTCAGTAAATAGAAAAGACATTGTATATTGAATACCCAAAGTGCTTACCCTCTTCAAGGAAGAATTAATGTTTCCTTCGGTAAAGCTTTTCTTATGCTGATTTTGCTCATACATCTATACGATATTATCCGATTAATTCAAACATCACTTCATATTAGCCATATTTATCATTGAGAGAATCAAGCTGGCAAATTTTTCTTTTGAAGAAATCTCATAAAAATGTATTTAGAAATTAGCAAAGGCTTACAAAAGGCCGAACAGAAGTATGACTCTAAGGGAATTAGCAATCCTTGTTGTTATAGTCTGTGCTCGCAGAGTATCATAAATTCCTCACAGCCTGCAAAGCTATCCTAAAAATGCTTAGAATTGATAATTTAAGGTATTTCTAAGTTTAGGGTAAATATTTCAGAACACCCATCAAAGATGGAGGACATTTTCCATGAATTTATTAAACTGGGATAGACATCGCTTAAAAAACTATAAATACTCATGGCTTAAACTGTCTGCACTTAGAACCTCGAACCATGCTTAATTAATCATAACTCTCACAAAAATAGTAAGATGGGTGGTTATTAATTTTTTTTACAAAGTTTACCAATATTTCAAAAATCTCAGAAAAAGGCTATGCTTTGGGACAGTATAAATACTCTTGTTCTCATATTTCATATATACATTTGTAAGAGGTTTTGGGACCAACAATATGTATATCAAAAATACATGTTGGTGAACAGTCTAAGTCCTTATGCTAAGCACAAAAATCCTTAACCTCATGGCACCTTGCAAATTTAGTTTCCTATTTTTGTATATACAATGCTTGCATCTATTTTTTAAACCTGGACTAGCCTAGCATAGGTTTTTACATTTATCTAATTAAAAAATTAAGTTGACTGCCATCTTCCTGTACAAACTTTTAAACTAAAATCAGCTGATTAATAGTGGAGATAACGCCGATTTTAAAAACTTTCTTTTATTTACTTTTTGGCCATCTAGGACTACAACTCACCTAAAGATTGCAAAGATATCAACAGATTTAAGTGATAATTTTTATCTATCTCTAAAACCTTTGTACAAAAACTCTGCTGAAAAATTCATAAAATAGTGCAGATTTGGCAAAAAAATGGTAAGTCAAGGCATCTGAAATATCAAATAGAAACCTTGCTGAGGATCGTGGTCCTTAGTAAGAGATTATTTAAGTGTCTATAGATCCTAAATCATTCCTAAAATTGCCATATCCTCGAAGCATCAGATCGATTAAATGCTTTTAAGATAATTGTAAGCAACCTCATAGGTTAATTTTTAGATTTTAAAGCAAGTGAAACAGGGAAAGGACTTAGCCCAATAATTTTTAATTTCCATTCAAAACAATTGGACCTCTGTCTTACCCCTCTATTTGAAGAGACTTAAGAAATAGGAAAATTTCTAAACTTTAGAAAGTATTCAATTTCTCTAGAGTTATTACCACACTGTTGCTGGAGTCATCTAGCAGAAGCTCTAACAAGTCAAAGATGCACTATAACTACACAGGAGCGTCATGGCACTTGATTTTGTGTGAAATTTATCAAGGCAGACTCCATGCCTATATAATGCTAAGTACAAGATAAGGTTCTTATAAAAAGTTAGCAGGCGTGGCCAATAATGTATCGCAAGATTGGGAAGTCCTACACACAGCTATCTTATGGGTTAGCTTTAAATAGGCGTCATAATCAACTTTTTAGCACCCTTAAATTGAAAATCCTACTATTTGAGAGTCACAGCAGAATCTTTAAATAAAAATTTGTGATAATTAAAAATACTACTAGTTTTTAAATGAGCACAAGATAAGATTAAAGATACATATTTTTGGCCGGGATGAGATCACAAAAATTTGAGAAATCTAGGAAAATTATGAGAAAGAATTGTATGAATTCGATAAAATATGTTGCTATATTCTTTTAGTCTCGAAAACATAATGGAATTGACTCCAAATTATCCCACTCACCCCCATCTACCAATTTCCTTCCTTCCCTACCCATATTCACCATCCCCAAACATGTATGGTGCAGATATTACCCATATTTCAGAACTTACCTTAAATTATTTATGCCTCAATATCTATATCTCCTATTGGGGTTTTGGGGTTTTGGGGTTTTGGGG